CCTTTTATAACACAAATTTTTTCCCATTTTTTCAAAGGTTCAATTCAAAATTTCCAAAATGCCTTTCATTTTGAAAATCTGCTAATGAGGGGAACTTAATCCCCCAATTCGATAGATTTCAGAATATTTTTGCCTTGAAACCATCATTTTTTGGTTGATTAATTTCATTTATTTATTTTCTGAAATTAATTTTTTTTTCTAGATTTTAGCCGGATGCAAGTTCTAAACTGCAGATTCTAGAATCTAGAAAAAAAATCTTGAATTTACTTTTTCTTTTCTCTGTGTATCATAATTGAGAAACTTTCTTAGTCGCTTTATAATCTGCCCAGAATTTTGGTTGTGCCTCAAGTGAATTATTTTCCACTGCTATTTTATTTCATGCTGACGAGGTAGAATAAGAATGCCGCACGAACATGAATGGTTGGAATCATTAAACGTCATAATTTTTTCCGATGATGGAGATCCAACCGGGGACCTTACAATTACTAATCCTATGCCCTAACTACTAGAATACATCACGCTATGATTATCATGTGGGCTGTTTTGCCTATATGATTTGTTGACTTCGAAATTATTCATGATCTCGCGGATTTGCGCATATATTCTAAGAGGCAAAATTTATTTAGTTAAAATACTATCCATTTCATTATCTGAGCCCGCCTCCAGATTTTGGAGTTCGATTTATTAGATCAAAACTTGGTCAGGTTCTCATCAGAAATCACCTGATCAGTCGAATCTCATAAAAACTGGATCAAGTTCTGATCGTTCTTCATATGGACCTGAAGCAATTTTCACTCAGGTTGGGGGACTTTCTTCCTCTATTTCACTTCGAAAGTGACAGATTGAGATTAGGCTATGCGATTTTTTATTTTCATTTGGATGGAATTTTCTTTCTAGTTTTTCTACCTGTGGACCAAGTATTGATGATGATCATTCTTTCGATACTGACTATGTCCTCTTTATGTATTTTTTACACGAAAAACCTCACTATCATGTGTTCTACTGTCCCGAGTGGAAATTGCTTCAGGCCCACCTGAAGCACGATCAGAACTTGATGAGGTTTTTGTAAGGTTTGACTGATCCAGTGATTCCTGATGAGAACCTGACCCAGTTCTGATCCAGCAGATCGGATCCGAAGAACTACAGGCGGCTTCAAATCGAATTCTGATCAGGTAGACATGATCAGATGATACCTGATGAGAACCTGACCAAGTTCTGATTCAGCAGATTGGACCCGAAAAACTACAGGCGGGTTCACATCGAGTTCTGATCAGGTAGACATGATCAGATGATACCTGATGAGAACCTGACCAAGTTCTGATTCAGCAGATTGGACCCGAAAAACTACAGGCGGGTTCACATCGAGTTCTGATCAGGTAGACATGATCAGATGATACCTGATGAGAACCTGACCAAGTTCTGATTCAGCAGATTGGACCCGAAAAACTACAGGCGGGTTCACATCGAGTTCTGATCAGGTAGACATGATCAGATGATACCTGATGAGAACCTGACCAAGTTCTGATTCAGCAGATTGGACCCGAAAAACTACAGGCGGGTTCACATCGAGTTCTGATCAGGTAGACATGATCAGATGATGCCTGATGAGAACCTGACCAAGTTTTGAACCAGTAGATCGGATCCGAAAAACTGCAGGATGATTCAGCTCTGATCAGGTAGGCACGATCATCAAGGTCTGATCAGGTAGGCACGATCTCACCCTGAGGTCGGCTGCCTGACCCCAATTTGATCAAATTCGGATTTGATGTCTTTGATCGGCATTTGAACGGGGTCCATTGAAGAGAAAATGATCAGATTCAGATCCGGTCCACCTGACATTAATTTTACTAAGTTTGTCGGATAATTTAATTCATTATTATTTCACTATTCACATTAAGTTTTATCAACCATAATCGATAATTATTTTCAATCTTTAAAAAGGATCATTATACTATAATTGAAATAAATTAAATTAAGTTAATTTAATGAATTTAATTTAATTAATCAATTTAATTAACAGCCAGCCCTTCTCAAATGTATAGAAGGGAGGGATGATGATCCCGTAAATACGTATTAGAGGAGCATCAAACTTACACGTAAATGATCTTGAGAAAAAAAATCACCAAATGTCTATTTATTCATTAGTGTTATTGTTATTATCATTATTATTATTCATTAATAAAATAAGGCCCGGTTGTACCACCCCCTGTTAAAGTTACCAGCCAGTAAACTTCTGGTAAATCTTCGATAAATTTTATTCGGATGTTACTGGAGGTTTATCGAGAGTCTACTTAACAGAGATTTATCCCCCCGGTAAATGTTTGTTAAGTAATCCTCAATTAGTTTGCAATGATTTTACTTTTTAAACTTTGAAAGGTTTGAGTTTGATTTTTCATTTTAAACTTTTAGGAAACATTTTAAAAATCTGAAAAAAATTGAAAAGTCTGCTTTTGGAACAGAATTGATAAAATAATTAAATAATTGCAATATTTGAAAATTAGGGGAGAGTGGGGCGAAGTGAAACGACCCGGCAAAGTAAAACGAGGGGTAGAATGAAACGCGGAGGAAAGTGAAACGGTAGCGAATTTCATTCTTAAGGGTCAAAGAGTTTTGAGGGTCAAATGAGAGTGATCAGGAGGATCGAAAGTTCTTAAAGATCAAGTGGGAGAGACAAGTACAGTAATCAGAAGAGTCGAATAGAAGAAAAAGGGGCAGAGATCACTCTACCTGTTTCTGCCATAAGACCCTGAGAAAGTTGCAGCCATCTGATTCCTTCCACTGTTCCTCAAAACTGTTCGACCCTTCGTTATTTTTTTTTTTGGTAAGGCGATAGAGGGGTAAAAGGGACCGTGTGGGTAAAATGGACCACAAACTGTTTTTTATTTAAGGGGAGGTTACTATGAGTTTTAAAAGTCACGGAATATTGCAGTGAGATTTATCGTACATTGAAGATCGATTATATATCTTGAAAAACGAAGAATCAGTGCAAAAAAAGATTGTTTATTGTATGTTTGCCCCCCAGGCGCTTGAAATCTAAAAAAATAATCCAGTGTACTCAATTTCAGAGCTACGAGGGTCTTTTTTTTCTCAAATTTTTTTCAAATATGTGTAGAACAATAATTACGAGGTACTTGTTTCAAATTCAACTCCTAAGGGGTCAATTCCGTGACTTTTTAAATTTAAAAAATCAATATTCCTGAAAAATAACCAGGAAAATAATCCTGAAAATAATTACAGTATTTTGGATTTGAGGAAAAAATTTAGAAGTATTCATTCTCCGGGCTGTTTTACTTGAATATTGCAATTTTTTATTCGGAAAAGAACGAAATTGGTTTTTTAGAAAGTGGTTATTTTCGAATTTCGAAAAAGTATCTCGTAATTGTTATTCTACAGATCTTTTGAAAATTTTTGAAAACTAGATTTTGAGATTTTCAATTATCAAGTTTGTCTATTGAAGTAGCTCCACCCTCACGATAAATTTGAAAATCATTAAAAACTACAAGGAATTCCCAGGAAATTCGATTCGATTCGGAAGCGTATTTTTTTCTCAATTTAATGGCCGTTTGGATTTTTTAGTGAAAAAATGGTGGAAAATCAGGATTTAAACCAGTGCAGGGCTGTTAGTAATTGTTGGATTTTTGGGGATTTCCCCAAGTACAAAATTCACTCTTTCTCTCCTAGTTTTCATATCTTTCGTTTCTGGAAAGACGTTTTATGGTTTTATTGCAGTAGGGCCGGGGAATAAGAAAAGGGAAATGTCCATGCCGAAACTGGTAGTTTACGGACAAGCTTATGTTTATTACTGCCTATCCCTCAGCAACATTTGGCGACCAGAAGTGGTCAAGGGAGAAGGAAAAACCCCTTTTAGGGGGGGTGGAAATGTTGTTGCCCCAAAGGTCCTAAAATAAGGCCCAAGTAGTTTAGTTGTCAGTTAGTCTCTCTTGAGTACCCGTAGAGCAACGTACCTCCTGGTTAAAGTAGAGTCAGAAATTATTCATGAGAATAAAGGATATAAGTGAAAATACAAATAGAAGTGTTCATTATTTTTGATCCCATAATCCAATAGTAATCATAGGGTCCCCGGTTCGATCCCCAGCATCGGTAAAAAAATAATAAGCTTTTTCAGAGGTTATAACAGTAAAGATTCATTAAGAGAGGCGGCCTACGGTGAAATAATTGAATTATGTTTTGTTTTGGATTAATTATCATTGATAATTGTTATTGATACTGACAGATAGGTCATCCGTTTTCATACAGTTGACTTGATCAAGTTCGGATCCATTCGTCCTGATCAAATCCGGATTGGTTAGAGGCGTAACATGTCTGATCAAGACCGGATCCGTCAACTTGATCAATACCTGATCAGTGGTCAGGTCTAACCTGATCCAAACTTGATTAAGACCTGGCCGGAATTTCTACTCGGGGTTATCCGGAATATAACAAACAACTCACAGCGAATATTTTCATGAACGCAGGGCATGCGCGCTAGTGCCAAAGTGTTAGAGTTTACACTTGTTAATTGACTCATACATTAATTTGTTCATAATATTTTCTGTTTGATAAACAAAAATGAAATGAGTTGAAAATGTTATTAAATGTGTTTGGGATAAGGAACGGTTCCAGGTTTTTTGTTGTTCCAAAAAACAATTAATATATATATATATATATAAAGAACGTGAAATCATTCAATAAGGTGGTGAATACAAAAATTCACAACTATTTCATTCATCCCTCCCCCCCATTTCATATTGCCCGGCCATTTCATTTTGCCCCGGTCTGCCCTATATGGTTGAAATTGATCTTTCATTCACTCGAATAGTCACAATAGATAATAGATGAGAAAAAAAAAATACACTGAATTATTTGTTCTTCGCCATGTTTGTGGAATGAGGCAATAGTCACGCGGTCATCCGAACTTGGTATTTATCCTGACAAACCAGAGAAATTAAAATAAGTACTACAATAATCTTGCAAGGGAAATGATGAACATGAAAAATTGATTGAACCGTTGCTTTATACTTTTATTCAGTTTTTATTTTCCGTTATTTTTGTATCCATAATGACTGTGGCACACGAGTATATTATATCAACAATGGTATTTACATGAATTCTCTATAGTAATACAATTTATGATTTTTTTTCGATTTCACGAAGGTTTTTGACACTTGGAAAGTGAGATATTCTCTCCAACTTTTCATTCCTTATTAGTAGTCCCTTTTTCATTCCACCTTTGTGGATGTAGAATAAAAAAGGCAATGCACGGCAACAAGTTGATAAATACATTGATCTCGAAAAAAAGGCACTCTATGTAAACGAATCAATTTTGAAGAAAATACGATAATTCGTGATTCCATATTTTTCTATTCTCGTGTATTAATTTCCTATTCAATTTATTTCATTTTTATATTTTTGGATTAACATTTTTTGTTCCGTATAAAAAAGAAGCGATGGAAAAACAATGAAAAAAGAAATACCATAGGCCGTTGCAAGTTTATGCGATTGGTCGTTGAATAAAAGCTAAAAATTTTAGAATTAATTCAATTTTCAATCGTAATGACGATTTCTCTATTTTCGAATATTAAGTGAATGGCAGAGTAACAAAATGGTCTTTTTCAACAGTAAAAAAATTATAAATCCAACCGGCAGATCTTATCGAACTTAAACATTTTGTTACTTTTCTTCTGTAATTTTCAATAGATTAATTGTTACCTAAACATATCGAAAAACATATGAATATCATTAAAAATCAATCAATCGAACTTTAACCTTGGATGGAAAATTAAATTCATCTAGTATTTGTAATATTACAGAACGACACGAGTATACACATACGCAATTGGCCATTTTGTAATATAGAATAAATAAAAACAAACTGACATCCAACAGTTGTGCACCCATGAACATGAAAGTCTATCGTATTAAAAGCTCTTCATCGTTCAAATGAAATAACTTGTTATAAGAAAAATAATAGATATATAATTGAACATTGGCAGCTCATTGAGTTTTTGTAGCAACCGTCATATTATCTACTCTCGATTGCGCTATTCTTTTCAAATTCTAAGAACTTGTCCACCAAACAAATCCATCATTTTAATGTCCCGATTTACAATATATAGTAATGGTATTATATACAATTTACAATCACACTTCAAATCGTCTACATTTTTCTCTTCGTTTAAGACAAAAAGGAAAACACTAATCTCATTATTTCAAATCCATAATAAAACCTGGATCGATATTTATCCCTTCGAACGACTTTACTCGTTATTTACATTCGTAATCTAAATAGTTCTTCCATTAAAACATCTTCTCGAGTAACATCCAACCGAAAGCAATGGCAATTGGTGCAAAGTATTGAATTGGCACACTGTAGCTTGCACTTAATAAATCACCACAATGTGTTGTGAACGTATTCAACTGCTTTGTCAGTGCTGATTTCTCCATGTTGCAGACATTGAATTTTTCTTTGAGAATAACAAGCTCCTCATTGACCTCCTGCAGCCTCGAGTTTTCGTTCTTGACACGGTAGTAAAGTTGTTTGAGTTTTTCGATCACTTGTTCGTTTGGCTCTCGAATCAACCAGTCTCGCAGTTCATTCAACTCGCAATTAACAAGGTGCTGAGCTTCCAAGTCGTCATCACCTTTTAGAGACTCTAGTGTTGCAATGAATGTTTGAAGAATATGAGCTCGATTATGATTACACTGAGAAAAGCTCTCACTCTTGGTCAAAGGTTTTAGTGTCTTGACATAATCACCCTCGAGATGCTCACCCTCCTGCTCATCAAGTTCCAGGTCATTTTCTTTCTCCTCGAGATCATCTCCTTTCTCCTCCTCCTTCCCATCTATAGCAGTTGTTGAGGATATAGATGCATTTGGAGAGTCCGCAGAGTCTGATGAATCATCACCCTGAACCACATTTTCCTCCTCAGGGTCGTAATGTACCTCCAGCTGATCTCCATTAAGATCAGTTGCAAATCGAACTTCCAATGTGTTAACGTCTCGAGTGATTTTCTCCTCCACTGGTTTTATTTCCGTGACAGATTTTTCACCAAACTCCTCGTCTATTAAACTACAAGTGTCGTCACTAGCGATGCTACTTGTGTCCTCACACGTTGCACAGTTCGCTTCATTCTCTACTTGGTTTCCATCAAAATTTGTTTTACCGTTGACTAATGTTCGCCTTGAGTGTGGGGGCAAAATGTAGTCGGCATCATTTTGGTTTTCATTGGTTGATTCTTCTGCTTCACTCTTTTCATATAAAATAGAGGAATTGGTGATTTTTTCGGTAGAATCAATTTCTTGTAGTTTGTTTTGATTGTCCTCACTCACAGCAAGATTTTCAAGATCATCAATATTCTCTGAATCAGCAATCATTTCATTCAAGATATCCAGAATTGTATTAATTGCTTCAATTGGATTCAGCCCGTCTTTCGAATCTTCGGATAATTTTGAATTCATATCCTGGAGAGTTTGCATGTAATTTCGAAGGCTAGTTATTTCCTTGTGAATTTTCACAGAGTCTGAACGATTCTCATTCAGCTTCTGCCGAAGGAAATGACCAATTTTTGATTGACGCATCACCTTCTCCATCAGATGTTGCTTTTCCTGTGCGGTTGAAAGAACAATTTCTGTTGAGGTTTGTTCTTTCTCAGCCAGCTTCGCCTCCAATTGCGCGAGATTCTTCTGCGCTGTGGTGTACTTTGAGGCCAATTCCTGCAACTCCATTTGCGAATGTTTTGAAATTTCATGGAGACTTTGGCATTCATCTTCGGTTTCATTAAGACGACTCTCGAGAGCCATTAATTTCTGCGTCACTTCTAATTTTTCCTGATGAACTTTTTGCAGAGCTTCCTTGGCAGCAATTTGGTACTGAGATTTTTGCTCCTCGAGCTTAATAAGTTCGGTTCTTATTTTCTCCTCAGTGAAGTTCTTAGAGTAAGCACAGAGTTGGCTTTCGATAGTTTTCACATGCGTCAGTAATCGGTCCTCGTCAATCAAGGCCTTCCAAGATTGTGTTGCTGCTTTTCTCGTGTTTTCCACCAATTTCTGTAGATAGCCCAGTTTCGAATGAAGTACCTGTTCACGTCTACTAGCCTCCTGGACGTATTGATTTAATTTGTAGAGGTCCTCCAGGGTAACATCTCCAGCTGCACTGCTACCATACGTAGTTCTAGAAGCCTTTGCCTCTTTTCCATCAGGCAAAAAAAGCTTAAGGGTGGCTATTATACATCCGTGTGTCACTTTTCTCGTACTCTCCATAACATCCACACCAAATTGGACAATGTCACCTGAGCAAACTTCGGTGGCTTTAGATTGTAAACCAGTGGAACTGAGACGTTGATTATTAACAAAAGTCCCATTGCTACTTCGAGTGTCTTGCAAATAAAATTTTCCAGCGTTGTACCATAGTAATGCATGATTACGCGATAAGACTTTGCAATCAAAGATTGCATTGTCTGATGCTGCACGTGTACGTGCCACTGATCTGCCGATTTTCACAGGTAAATCGAGAACAAGTGTCCTGTCCTCAAATGCATGAGAATTATCACGGCATATTAGCACACCTTTGGCGCTCATCTTGTTAGTTTCACTCTCTGCACTCATGTTGTTATTATTTTGATTCGTGAAATTGACATTCTGCACCCAACCACTACTTGCCACAACCATAGCCACGGGAATTTTTTCCGCTTTTATTAAATAATTGTCTTGATATTCCTTATTAGCAGGAAAAGTTTGTGGTGTCACAAAGTCCATATGTAGCAAGCGGGCAAATTGCCCAAAAAATTAACTAATACACTTGATATTTAACTACTTGACCTTAATTCTTTTTTTTTTAATCGTCACTTTTATTATTATTATTACTATTATTATTATTATTGTTGTTGTTATTATTATTATTTCACTTTTTTCACATCCGAGTATCACGATTACCCAAGGCAACGTGAGGGAAAGACAACGTCAACAGGAATTGGGTGATAGGTCACATGTTCGTGTGATGATAGCGATGGAATTTCCTTTTTCAATGGAGTTTTAGTTATCACAGATGAACTGAGGTGAATTGGGAGTGCATCAACGCATAATCTTTTTTTTAGGAGTCGACTTCCGGGTTGCGTTGGATGATCTTCTATTTTCTTCGAAACTGTTTCCAACTACCCGAATATAACCCTTTACTCTCAATTTTTTTTTAGGCCGGGAGATGTGTGTTGATTGAATGTAAATTTATGATAAGTTTTTCAAAGTATTTATAATCGGAGTTTTTTTTTCAGTGAGCATACCAGGCATGATGGGCAGTTGTTTCGAGGATTGGGGGGTGACTTCAGATGTGAGCTTCAATCAGATCACCGAGAGAAATTTTGCCACACATTACTTATGCCACTCTCTTTCACTCTTTCAGTTCGAAATTCACGCACAGACAACACCACCGATCTTTGTCTCTCACCGTGGAAATGACACAATGGCCAGTCTCTATATACAAAATATCATCCGTTAATGTGTTTTTTCTTTTTATTAGGTTTTCTTTTGGGTGCCTCTATTGGCATTGGAATACAACAGTGCAGACTGCTCCTCGATCAAATGACTTTTTTCTTCCTGTCTCCCTCTCACTCACTTGTTTTTTCCTCGATGTGACTTGGTTTCTGCTTCTTTTTATGATGGTTGGAATTCTGCTTTAAGCACTGCAACCGTGTGTACATTTCAGTTTCACTGTTCCAACTTGTTAGCAAGCTGTGCGGTCAACAAGTTCCGCGTTCCACCCGATAACTATCGATCCATAGCGAACAGAACCGAACAGAGGCGTGGAAATCTTTTTTTTTTCTATTAAATATGGGATTTTGGTTGAATTAGTGCCACCCGGCCGCAAGCGGCCGGGCTGTTGATGCCCCTTTCATTATGCCCTTTTTCCTGTCAGATTCAATATTCCTTTTTTTAATTCATTGTTCATAATCATTCTAATTGCAGAAAACAACGCAACCGGTGGAAATAATATGTCCCAATCTATTAGCTTTCAATTTTGTTAATTTTTCGGATTGCAATAAATGACTTGCTCATATGTGCTAATTGCTATGAGTAAACTGAATAAAAGTTCGATCATAATTATAATCCACTTTCTTCTCGAACGTAAGCCAGAGAGTAGATTTCTGGTAAACACTCTTATAAATTTTTATAATTAGTTCACTCGTTAATCCAATTAATCCGTTGATCATATCATCAATATAATTCCACGCTTAAAATATCATCATCTAATATTTTCAGCACCAAATTAAAAATAAAAAGTTTAAATAATTGCTTGACTGCTGCTCTATCCTTTTTTGAGAATCTGAAATTCATATTAATGATTCAGATAATATTACATAATTATCATCATTTTTATTATTTGCAGTTATGGAATATTGAATGAAAGTTTTTTTGTTTAATCATATCAGAAATTTTTAATTTAAATATTGTTACTATTTGTTCAAAGTGAAACAATCGATTATCATTTTCACTATGTTGCATTCAGATTCTTCTATACTTAAGGTAAAAAATATCAGAATCTCTCATAATTCTCACTATTGATTCTAATTAAATTTGAAGGAAACCCCAGCAAACACACCATTGAGGAAGTTGAATCATTCTATTTTCCTGTGGCCTAAATGATTTGGGCAATTATAATTTGCATGTTTATCAATCGAAAATACAGAGTGATTTGGTACACAATATTCATCGTTTAAATGAGAATTCAAGTAACTTGAAAAGTTCCCCGCTTCACATGCTGGTTAAAAGTGTTGAATTTCATTAAATTTACATTAAAATTTGAAATTTCACGACTTTTTCCTCTCAAACTGAAGTAAATGTCTCTCGCCTGAAAATTACTACGATACTGTTCATGACATTTAAATTTTTTTTCCAACACTATTATTAGGGGAGGTGGGGGTAAAATGGACAGTGAGGGCAAAATGGACACCCTCGAAATTTTTTATGTTTCTCGATTTCTTTGTTTGTTTTTTTATCATTTGAGCACCAAAGATTCAAAATGTGGATATTTGACGAGATCATATGTACAGATGGTGCCTGATATTTAAAAAATTGAAGGGGGGGGGGGGACAATGTGAAAAAAGGTCGACTCGGGTTGATTTACGGGGCAAAATCAATTATGGTAATCATTTCTCTGATTTTTTGTATACCATCATATATCAATATTTGCTAAACAAGTACCTAACTGCTACAAAAACTTTCAAATTTCACCGCGGTCTCAAAAAAATCAAATTGCCGTATTTTTGGCAGTGTTCATTTTGCCCCTACAGCTACCCCTTCTAGAAATAATTCCATGAATAGGTCTTATTGTTTTTTTGTGTTATGTTATGGATCATTAGAAAGCCAAGGTATTTTCCTTGGAGTAGAGTTTTTCCTTAAGGTGTCCATTTTGCCCCCACCTCCCCTACTACTTACTCATAATAATTATTAAGGAACATTTTTCAAATCTTTAAAAAAAAATAGAAAGTCGACTGTTATGAGTATGGTCGGAAAATTGCGATTTTCGAAGATCACTTTTTTTGCTTCCGAATGGAAGCTTTGCAATCATGATTTTTTTCGATTTCTGAATTTTGGGTGGAAATGCCTAGAAATATCATGAAACATGAAGAAATGATGTTTTTAAAAAATGTCTGTATATGAGTAGGTATATGTGTGCACATGTGTGTTCGTATGTCCAGAAGTGTCCCCATAACTCGAGAATTATTGAGACAAACATGCTGATTTTCTGGCTGCTAATTGGTACTACTGAGACTCAAATTTATGCTAAATTTCAGCTCGATCGGTTGAGCGGTTCCTGAGATATAGCGATTCTTCGAAAATAGTTTTTTGCCGATATCACCTGGACTGATTGGATTCTTTTTTCAAAATACTCGTCACGATGATACCTATTTAATTGGATTGAAAAAAGACCATTAGTCCCTGAGCAATGTAGTTTTATTCTCGTTTTTTCATTTTTTCCTTGAAATTGCTTGTTCACACGAAAACTTGAAAAATAATCGAGATAGAAACTTGAAACTTAGTATGATTTTAGGTTTCCTGGTAAAAAACTTTGGGATGCTGAATGAACGAAATCTTGTGGTCAATATCTCAAAAACTATTTGTCCGATTTCATTTTTTTTTCCAAATGTGCGTTTTCATGCCATTTATCTAGATCCATTGAAATATGGGTACCATCCCATTGAAATTTTTCGAGATATCGTCTTTTTTGTATTTTTTGCTTGGAGTTCACTTTTGCGCACCATAACATGGGTAAAAGTCAGGGAAACATTTTAAAACTTTGGTTTCTAGTTAGGACTGTCAAGAAACATTCTTATATCAAATTTTAGGTCTATGCATTTGATAGTTCTTGAGATGAAATAATTCACCCGAAATTTTTGAGAAAAAAAAATTCTATATTTCAACGTCCATTTTCACAGCAGGATTATTGAGGTAGCCATATAACATGAATATTGTTGCATGAAATTGCAAATTTATTTTATAGAAATAGGGGAAAATGAGTGCGATTGGCCTTAATATTTTCAAAAAATGGGAATCCGTATGCCTTCTTTTTTTGAAAACATACATTGGGATCCATTCGGAAGCCTACTACCAATGGAATTTGATAGAAATGAAAATAGGAGAAATATACGTGGAGAGTAGCAGTCATATATAATCTATCAAATGGCTTCTGTCACACTGCCTGTTTATTTAACTACTTCAATAATAATATATTTGTCACTCTAAAAATAATCGTTTCTGAATTGTAACGAATTTTTCCCCTTTCAGAATTTCACCAAAATTTAATTGGATGCCTAAAAATATTCTTTTGAAAGTTTGAGCCATTTGCATTATTCATTCCTAAGAATGTCGAAAAAAAAGCAATTATTTGCAGAATTTCGTTCGAAAAACGCTGATTATCCATGCTTTATTTTCGAACTTTTCCTAGCCAATTCGATGAAAAAATTGGGCCATTGAAAATCTGTAAATAAAAAGTATTTCGACGTTTGTATTTTATGGATAAAATTTAAAATTCGTTGATTTTGGGATATACCTAAGGCTTGGTTTCATTAAACATAACCTCGAAAAAAAAATGACTTGGAAAAACAGGAGATTAATTGTGTTGATTCCACCCTTGGCATTCAAGTGAATCTAATTATCAATCACTCCAATTAGTTTGTCAGTTCATAGCACTTATCACTGACAAATAACTTCTGATTCAACTGATTATAATCAAATACATGTGTAGGAAACATGCCCTGATGTACTTTATGCTTGCACGGTGTTTGTTTCTCATCTGGGGCTAGAAGTCCGCTTTTAAATTTGCGCGCATTTTCTTGAAACATTGAGGTATCGTCTTTTACACTGCCATCTTGCGGTATTTCTCTGCACCTTGTACAAAAATCGTAGCGGTGGCGCATGGACTACGATGGAGCGTACGGAACTGTTGGCATGATAGGGCCCGAGCATAAATTTGTCGAAAACCGGAAAGGGGTTCTCAATACGGTAGCTCCTCGCATTGTGTAATAATTGTCAGGAATGTAAAATCGAACATATTATAATCAATAGTATAATGAATGCACAATCTAATGATCTAAAAGTCTTTTCCTGTTTCTCGACATATTTATTATTGACACGTAGGTAAAAAAATTCATAGAAAATCCCAGCGCTGTCGCTGGAAAACTCTATAGTTTTCCAGTGATTCTATTGAATAATTGTGCAGATTTTGTTTTTTTTT